CCCACTTGGACCAATTAGTTCCAGATACTTAACAAAATATCTTTTCTGATAGAAGTTATCCGAGCTTATATGTGCTATATTAGTTTGGGGTAATCAGTCACAGGAGTTCTTATGCCTACTGTGGACCAGGAGCTAGAACCTGGTCCCCCTCAGAGAGGCAAAAGGAGCAATGGCCTATGAGCACTTTACATTTAAAGTACAGTACGTCATAATTGCCATTGACCGGGGAAAGACCCAGAAAGGTAGATGAATCAAAACAGACCACTGTCTCTTTAACCTGTGCAATCTACATCTGAAAAGATCAAAATAACTCACCTAGAAAGAAACCTAGCAACCCTTCATGTTACTAGCACTTCCATTCGTTAGCACTACCAGCGGGAGCTGGCAGCCCATAACTACAGTTCTTGAACTGATGTGCTGGTGGTCAGTTCATTCATCTGCCGGCTCCCCCTTTCCCCGATTGCTATTTAGTGGAAGTGCTAGTCGTTAGTCGCGAGCGGAAGTGCGAATCTTTCTCTTATTTCTGATCATTTGTTGAATGGAGTTGCATTGAAGCAAGAATCTACTGTGCTATTATGAAGCCTACCCCATATTTGAGTAATAAATGTGTGTGGGCTTCACAGCATACCATTACATAATACTATATCAGTGACTGTGTGCATTCAGTACTGGGACTGCCACCTTGATGACCCAGGTTTGAATCTCGAATGGGGCCATGTTGTGGATGCAGTATATATTTAGTGCATATACTCCTCATGTGGACAGACTCATACCAGAACTCCTTCGAAAGTATATGCAGTTTTGTTGCATCAGTAGTTTGCGTTTTACCCGAACAGTATTCACCGTCACTAAAAAGTTAGTGATCCTTATCATTCTGCAAATGATCGATACCATCTTTTGTGATTTTTTTATAACAAATATTTTATAAGTAATGAGTTTTGAGTATAAAAATATTAATACTGTATATTATAAAAATTTAATGTTGTGCATAGTGAAATACTCATGAGCTAATCCTTTGGATGCTCCCTTAGCCAAAACCATTATAACCCACCAAGGCTTGTATATTTGTACAAGGGCCTCATGACCTTGTCCCTTAATGGAGATATACTGTCCAGTACCTTTGTTCATAAAGCACATTTCATACGTAGATAATGTGGGTCACACAACATTCCATTATTTATATAGTACAGTGCAATATTATTGGTAGTATGTGCACAGAACTGAACTGCCACTTTTGTGGCCCGGGTTTGAATTTAAGATGGAACTTGACAAGAAAAGCAAGTCAGTAGTCAGTGCAAGAGAGAGGAGGACAGGATCAAAAAAAAGTCTGGAAAAGTATAGAGAATTTGGCACAGACCTGAGTAGGGTGGCACTGGAGTCAGGAGAACAGTGAAGTAGCAATTTGAAGGACATTAGCAGCAAAAGCAGAGCACCAGTCAATGTTGTTGCTTAGTCACACAGAGGAAAAATAACAATAACAGATGGTAGGATTGGCTGAGGTGTGAGCAAAGCATCCTCACAGAAAGTAAAAAGGTTGTGTGTAAGGAACTTAACAAAGGGGTTTCAGGAGCTCTACAAGACTGAGCCAAAGTGGAGACAGAGGATGATAAGACAATAAGCAGCCAGAAGGATTACATTGATATTAGTCACTGGACCATGAGGAATAAAAGGCACTTTTAGTAACTAGACATACCTTGTTTGGCCATATTGCTTTTATCAATATGGATACTGAAAGAGACTGTACAGATGTTCTGCATTATCCATTAGCTAGGACTTTCAGTAAAACACTAGACTGGAGAGCTCCCTAAAATTTGGATAAGGGCATAGTCTCGATATTCAAAAAAATGAACAGTCGAGAAACATAAATTTTTAGAAATATGAAAAATATGTGTTTCGTGTCATTGCCATGAAATTCAAGAAATTTGACTTGAAAGAGAGCCAGGAAATAACTGCCACCAGCAGATCAATCTACCCTGCATTTAGAAATATCCTTAGCAAGAAAAGTGTTACACTTGATCACATCATCAAAGTTTTCATCTTCAATGACATATACAGTGGAGTAACATTTGATATTTCATGCCAACACAACAACTTTATTTAGATTTTCCCAGTTTGTAACATTTAATTGTTCTTAGTTTCCCCTTTATTCCTACTAACACTTTGATGGTCTGGCTTCTCTGCACGTTCTCGACTGTAAACATTCTGGGCTTCCGGGTGCATGAAGAGCTCATGGGCTGCTCAGTAATGATGGTATTGCTGAGCAGTGCAAAAAGTGTTTACAATCATTTTATATTTTCTCAGTTATTTGTTGTAATATAAATTTTGTGCAAAAAAGAAATGTGTACTGTTAACAGATTATGCATGATGGCAATGAAAACTATACACGTATATGAATGTTTATGATTAGCAATTGGATGACATGTTTTAACATCATCGGAACGTCTACTGTCAGAGTACTAGTGATGCATTTTAGTCATTGTAATGTGAAAGTGATATTAATCTGCATTGTGGAGGCTTTTTCTTAATTGTCTTTCATTATAAATATATTCATACTTTTCTGGAAGGAGCTACTTGGTGGTTTCCCGAGCTTAGCTCTGGTTCCACAGAGCCTCAGCCCAGCACACTGAGCCTCTGAGATCTGTCTGTCAGCTTCTGGGAGCTACAACCAGCTCACTCTATGAGGTGAGGGAAGTGAGGGATTAGAGATCAACCACAAAACTGTAAAACCCGCCAGAAATCTCTGGTGCAATGAAACTAGCGACTGTTTAAATGAAATTCGGCATTCCCTAGGTAAACAAGACAAATGAGTGTTGCAGTGAAGTAAATAATCTGAGGCGCACCTGATTTCCATTAGATGGCAGCTCAGATCACTTTAGGTTTCAGCCAGCATGTCCCTCTATTCTTCCAACTGGTGTTATCAGCCCAGCACCTGTAGAGTGCGAGACCTTCAGACTCTGTACTTGTGTATGTTCAAGACCTGCTTGCCATGCTGACCCCTGCTCCTGTAAGCGGGTGTTAGGGGCCTTACACTTTAGGCAAGAACTCATTTGGGTCTCATTCAGAATGTTCCTGATCTGTTGCTGCTTATGCTCTTCCTCCCCAAGGGTTTGTGGTCGGGGTCCAAAGTTTACTATGCCCAGATGCTTCTCATTCGTCCAGCACACCTATCTGTCTTGACGATTTGAGTGGCTGAAGTCATATCCTGCTTTGCCCTGCCCTGCATTTTCAATTCCACGAGTTGCTTTCAGTGCTTAGGGCAGTGGCCTATGTAACACCCACCCACTTGGCAGAGGGGCTCTGTACTTATGTAGTGTAGGCAGTCTCTTGTGGCAGTTATTGATGGGTGTCGATCTCCTTTGTCTTTTCCTCATCCTCTGCCTTGTCTGGAGTTGTAGTTTCATTTCCCAGGTTCTTCATGCCTCTTCAGTGGGTTACAGTCACTTGCTTTGCAGCTCTTCATACATGCTGGTTTGCCATTTTGCCAAAATGTCTCCAGAAGAAAGACTTGTTTGCTGTCCCTGTTCTCTCCTCAGAGGTGGGTCTTTTCATGGATTTTGATGGTGTTTGTTACACCATCTGTCATTAAAACACTTGATAAGTCCCACCTCTGGGGTTCTACCCCTTGCTGAGATTTAGCAGTGCACCACACCCAGCCTCAGGGGTTCAGTTTTCCTTTATTCCTTGCATGTGGAGCTTCTTTACCTTGTCCCAGCTGTTTTGTTGGTGTCAGATTGCAGACTCCTCTTGGAACTGCATTGACATCTTTCTTCACACAGGCATTGAGTGGTGGCTTGGCGTGTTCTGGAATTTCTTCTTTTACTATTTTCTGCCTATTCAGTCGTCATCTCATTCGACCACACAACCCCTCTCGCTGGCATTTTGAGGGGGTTGGTTGGTTCGTTATGTCCTTACCTCTTCCTATGGCTGTCTTTGGTATTCTTTGATCCCTGAGCAGGGTGGGTAATGTGCTCTGTCTTGTGAGCATGATACAACATTTTTGTATGGTCCTCATACTGTTGGGGGTCGTAACTCAGTTCGTTGCAATATTTTGAGTAAACTTGGGGGAGCCCCTAAAGGGTCCCACAGAAATTAAGCAATGAATTTATTAAAATACCCCTTCCTAGTAGGTTTCCAGTGGGTTCCCCATTCCCACCCTGTTTCCTTCTTCAATCAGGTGTCTGAGGTAACCCCAACCTGCCATCTTACGGCAGGCAGATGCTTCCCAGTTGGGGTATATTACCCTGCAACAACATTTTCCTTGTTTTCCCCAGGGGTGTCTATGTACCTTCAAGCAGTCACTTGTCTTGTTGCACCTATGCTTTGAGGTGTTTTCACCAGTTTTGTGGTTGATCTCCAATTCCTTGCTTCATTCTTCTTGTTGAGGAGCAAGATTGGGGCCATGGCTCTCGACAGGTGATGGCCGAGTCTGAGTGACCTAGTGTGTTGTGCTAGAGGTTAGTTAGTGGTATCAGGGTTTAGCTTAGGGAAAAGATATTCGGGGGTCTAACAGAAACAGCCAAATATTATATTCAAAGCTTGATTTAATTAAGTTATTAGCAGCCGATCATCTGGGGTGATGTCTTACTAGATTTGAGAGAAATCACTTGCAATTTTATATTTTAACTTGAATGTAGCTTCTTGTTCCTTGTTCTTGTTCATGTGTGGAAATGGCTGAGAAATGTTTGAAATTGTTTTTGCATGTATTGCCATGTCCTAAATAAATTTAATTTGAGTTGTATATATTCAGACAATACTAATGAATGAGCAGCAAGAGTCATTTGATAATTTATATGCTACTTGACATGTCTGCTTCTTTGCCTGCTTTCAGTTTTTAATTTTTCAATTATGATATCTAGTAGCCATACAATTTTATTTTTACTAGAATTTTGTTTAATTTGGACTGACAGTATTGTGTTTAGGACTGCACGATGGTCGTAATGTAAGAGCGGGGTGTTATAAAAGATTTACCATACTGAACATGTCTTTTGTGGGGACTCCAGAGGTGCAGGTGGTGAGTCCTCTCACTCTACACCCTCCCCCCTCTCTTCCCACCACAGTAGTCAAGACTCCCTTCACAAGAGTGTCATCAATCAACCTAAGAAAAAGGGAATCAAGTCATCTATAGGGCGTTTCTTCAGTAAAAAAGATAAGGTGTGTATGATACAAATTTTGTCTTAAGATGAAGTTAGTGAAATAGAGTATACAGGTAAAGGAGAGAGCAAGCATATCTCAGACAGTGAGGTGGTTCAGACAGTGACTTTCCTGTAAAATAATGAACACTGTAACCTCCAGACTGAGTAACTGTAATTACCTAAGTGTAGTTACAGGATGAGAGACGCTCATGGTGTCCCGTCTTCCCAGCACTCTTTGTCATATAACGCTTTGAAACTACTGACGGTCTTAGCCTCCACCACCTTCTCGCTTAACTTGCTCCAACCGTCTACCACTCTGTTTGTGAAAGTGAATTTTCTTACATTTCTTCGGCATCTTTGTTTAGTTAGTTTCAATCTATGACCTCTTGTTCTTGAAGTTCCATGTTTCTTATCCTTATCTTAGCATCATCAGCAAACATGTTCATATAATTCTGTATACCATCTGGTAGATCATTTATGTAGACAATAAACATCACTGGTGCAAGAACTGAACCCTGTGGTACTCCGCTTGTGATGTTTCTCCAGTCCGATACATTGCCTCTGATCACTGCCCTCGTTTTTCTATCAGTCAGAAAATATTTCATCCATGTTAGAAGTTTACCTGTCACCCCTCCAATATTTTCCAGTTTCCAGAACAACCTCTTATGTGGAACTCTGTCAAGCCTTTTTTAGGTCCAGATAGATGCAGTCAACCCAACCATCTCTTTCCTGTAAAATCTCTGTGGCTCGATCATAGAAACTCAGTAAATTCGATACACAGGATCTTCCAGATTGAAAACCATACTGTCTGATATATCATTACTCTCCTGGTGTTCTACCCATTTAGTTTTTATTATTTTTTCCAATATTTTGATTATTACACTTGTCAATGACACAGGTCCATAATTGAGGGGGTCATCCCTGCTGCCACTTTTGTAGATTGGAACTATGTTAACCTTTTTCTACATATCTGCTATGACTCCTGTACACAGGGATGTCTGAAAAATCAGCTGAAGTGGAATGCTGAGGTCAGGTGCACATTCTCTCAGAACCCATGGGGAAACTCCATCTGGGTCAACTGCTTTGTTCTTACTTAGCTCCAGGAGCATTTGTTTCACTTCGTCTCTAGACACCTCTATGTGCTCTATGCTGTTCTCGGGAATTCTTAGTGTGTCTGGTTCTCTGAAGATCTTATTTTGTACAAACACACTTTGGAACTTTTCGTTTAATGTTTCACACATTTCCTTTTCATTTTCCATGTACAGTATCTGTCCCCCATTTTCAACCTCTGAATATTATCCTTTACCTGCAGCGTGCTTTTAATGATTTTATAGAAAAGGCCTGGATCTGATTTACATTTGTCTGCTTTACCTTTCTGAAAGTTTCTCTCTGCCTCTGTCCTTACTTCCTTACTATCATGTAGTTGTTTCTTGAATCTTTGTATCGCTGGTATGTTTGGGGGTTTGGTCTCTTTCTATAATGATTCCATGCTTGTGTCTATTGATCTCTGGCCCTCTTGCAATTTCTGTTGAACCAACCCTTTTTCCTAGGTCTGCATCTCTGTTTTGGTATGAATGTTTGTGTACCTTGAGGCTATCTTGAGATGATTTCGGGGCTTTTTAGTGTCCCCGCGGCCCGGTCCTCGACCAGACCTCCACCCCTAGGAAGCAGCCCGTGACAGCTGACTAACACCCAGGTACCTATTTTACTGCTAGGTAACAGGGGCATAGGGTGAAAGAAACTCTGCCCATTGTTTCTCGCCGGCGCCTGGGATCGAACCCAGGACCACAGGATCACAAGTCCAGCGTGCTGTCCGCTCGGCCGACCAGCTCCCTTCATCATATATTTTGCAAAATTTGTCATACATCTCATTTACTTCTTTGCCTAGCAACAAGTCTGTCTAATTATACCCATGAAAAAAATTTCCAAGTTCCCCATAGCGTCTTCTCTTGAAATCGAGTTTTAACAACTGTGTGTGTTTTGATGACATCATAGACCAAAATTTGTAGCTAGTTCATTAGGCCGAGTAAAGATTTTTGGAAATGCCCATTGGTGACTCCCTAAATCTATCTAGCTTCAGGGAGATGACTTCCACCTACAGAGCCACATCGGCCATAGGAGTCCTGTTTGGCTTACTGGGACTAAAGCCAGAATGTTGCGTCCCCCCTTCACAGAGGTACCGTACAGAGGATTGGGGTTTGTTATCACCCACTTGGAAAAAGCATCCAGAAAGTAAGCAAAGCAAAAAAGTCCACACAAAACAAAACATCGAAACAATCAAAAGACACTGCAAATGATGGGTTATCTTGAGGTTATCATGAGATGATTTCGGGGCTTAGCGTTTCTGTGGCTCAGTCCTTGACCAGGCCTCCTTTTTCTTACGCATCCCAAGGAAGCAGCCCGTACCAGCTATTTAACTCCCAGGTACCTATTTACTGCTAGGTGAACAGGTGAATCAGGATGAAAGAAACTATGCCCATTTGTTTCTGCCTCCACTGGGGATTGAACCTGGACCCTCAGGTCTACGAATCCCGAGCGCTGTCCACTCAGCTGGTTCAGGCCCATTCCTGATCAAACACAGTTCCAAACACACTTTGGAAATGTTCATTTAGCATTTCACACATTTCTTTTTCATTCTCAGTAGTCCTGTTCCCCGTTCTCAATTGAACGTTCTCAATTGTATTTTATCTTTTACATGCAGCTTGCTTTTAATGAATTTATAGAAAATGGCCTGGATTTGTTTTACATTTGTCTGCTATACCTTTCTCAAAGTTCCTTTCTGCCTCTCTTCTCACTGCTGTGTAATTGTTTCTTGCTTGTTTGTAATGCTGTATGTTTGCGGGTATGGCCTCTTCAGATATTGAACCCATTTTCTTGCCTTTTCCTTTTTTCCTCTGGCCCTCTCACAATTACTGTTGAACCAACCCTGTTTCCTAGGTCTGCATCTCTATTTTGGTATGAATGTTTGTGTGCCTTAATTGTATATTTTGCAAAATTTGGCATACTGTACATCTCATTTATGTCCAGACCTAACAACAAGTCTGTCCAGTTAAACTCATTAAAGAATTTTCTAAGTTCCCTATAGTGTCCTCTGTTGAAATTGAGTTTATCAATTGTTTCAATGTCCCCACTCTCTTCTAGGTCATATTGCAAAGCATATTTAACACTTTGGCATACCCCGCGCGCCACCCCTCAACTGTGCGATATGGGACCCAGGGTGTCACGGGAGCGCGCGTAAATTCTGAAAAGTGTATACTCTCTTCAACTTTGTCACCTTAATTCTCGTCCTACGAGATTAAATTTGGTATCATTGTGTTCGCAATAGAATACTCTACAGCACTAAATGCATATAAACTCAAAAAGCCCGGCTAATTACCCGCAGTAAACAGAGAAAGTGCGAACGAGTTACCCAGGAGCGCGCAAACGCGATAAAATGTTTTCACTATTTTCACTCTGGTCACCTCAATTTTTGTCCTAGGTCTTTCATTTTGGTCTCAATGGGTTCGCAATAGAATTCTCTAGAGGAACATTAGCATATAAAATAAAAAACCTGGTCACGCTCCAACCGCCGACGAGTTGAAGACGGGCCACACGTTAGCCGCGAGTGAGCGCTTAGATGCCTTCCAGTTACACTCCCAATTCCCGCCCTTTTCAAGCCTTTCTTTCGCAATTTTCTTCCTGGAAGGGCCTTGTTCATGATCACTATCCATCGTGGAGTAAGCGTAGATAGTTTCTAAAGCCGCAGTAAGAAATATAGCCACGGAAAATAGCCGAAATGTTCACACGTTTGAGACGCGAGATGAGGCGACATTGGTCACAACAGTGGAGCGAAAACAATGGGCCCACGGTGTGTGCCAAGCCGCCTGAGGGCCACGAGGCTCAACAAAGAAAATGGGAAGACATCGGCGCGCATTTTAAAACCAGTCCCCAAAAAATCGGATAAAAACCTGATTTTTGGCGATTATTTAAAGTGGATGACGCAATGCTGCGTCATCCCCGGAATTACCGACAGTAAACGGATGACGCAATGCTGCGTCATGCCCGGGCGAAAGTGTTAATTTCCAACAGGACATGATAATTCTTTTCCAAGGGGGAAAGGTACTGGATGTATAATATCTCCTCTTCTTTCCTGGTGAATATTAGATCCAGTACTGACGGAACATCTCCTTCCCTCATTCTTGTGGCCTGCTTAACGGGTTGATACATGCATGTCTCCTGAATGAGGCTTACAAATCTGCTTGTCAAAATTTCCTCTGTTCTTGCTTCGTAGGCCTCCCAGTCTATTGCTTTCAAGTTGAAGTTTCACAGTACCAACAATTGTGATTTATCTTTATCTGCTTTTACTATAATCTCTCACATGACCATTATGAGGCCTTCTTGTTTGTCATTCAGTTCCTCCTTTGTCCATGTGTTGCATGCTGGTGGGCTGTAGGTATTTACAATTATCAGTTTATCATTCTGATTCCAGACCTGCAATGCCAATATGTCAACTTCTCGAGGGTTTTTGGTTATTAACACTCTTACCTTCAGGTGTTCTTTCACCAGCACAGCCACTCCTCCCCCCCTTTTCTAGTTATTCTGGCATGTCTCCAAACTGAGTAACCCCTTGGGAATATGACATCATTTAAAATATTTTCAAGTTTCATCTCTGTTAGTGTGACAATATCTGGGGCCAGATTCACGAAGCAGTTACGAAAGTACTTACGAACGTGTACATCTTTCCTTAATCTTTGACGGCTTTGGTTATAATTATTAAACAGTTTACAAGCCTGAAAAGAATTTTAAACAAAGTCGCCAAAGATTGAGAAAAGATGTACAGGTTCGTAAGTGCTAGCGTAACTGCTTTGTGAATCTGGCCCCTGGGACCTTAAGCTGAATTATATCTTAGTTCCAGTATTTTTTATCTCACTCCATCTATGTTGGTGCAGTATATACAATTTTCAAGAAATTGTTCCCTTTCCCTTTTACTTCCCCTTCCTCTAATGATTTTGTTGCTAGGTTTTTATGTACCATTTCACT